TGGGTGGATGGATGGATGAAAAGGTGGATAAATGAATGTGTGGATGGGTGAATGGGGGAATGGATGGGTGGATAGTTAGTGGAAGGGTAGATGAGTAGATAGGTCAGTGAATTAGTGGATATATGATGAGTGGATGGGTAGGTAGATAGATATATAGGTAGATAGATGGGTGAATAGGAGGTAAATGGATGGTTGACCTGGATGGATGGATGAATGGATGGATAAAAGGGTAGTGAATGGATGAGTGGGTAGATGAATAAATGGGTGTTTAGATAATGGATGAATGGAAAGGTAGGTAAGTGCATAGATGCCTGGGTAAATAGAAGGTTGGGTTGGTGAACAGATGGATGGGGAAATGAATGGGTTAATCCTTAGGTCAGCCAACCTAGCTTAAATAACTCTGCAGAGCAGCATCTGCTGGGAGGAAGTGTGTCCTTGAGGGCATTTTCTCTCAAGGTCTTTCCCAGGCTGCTGTCTGATCCAGGCTGTCAGGCTGGGCCCCCTGGGTCCTTCAGGTCCCTATGAGTACCTGTGCTGCTGGCTCATGAGCTTTTGTCCTTCTGCAGGGTGACATCCAACAGCTGCTCTTCGTCTCTGACCACCGAGCTGCCTATGATTACTGTGAGCACTACAGCCCCGACTGTGACACCGCGGTCCCTGACACACCTCAGTCACAGGACCCTAACCCGGATGAATATGTGAGTCATCTCTGGCCGACTTCACGGTGGGAGCATGGGCAGACCAGGATGGTAGAGAGTTGCAGGGTTACAAAGGACTGTGGAAGCTGCAGGACCATAGGGGAAGCAGTGTGTGATGTCTGATCCATCTTACCATGGAGTAGTTACACCCATCCCGCCATGATGGAGTCTCTCAGGGGAGTGTCAGCAGCAGCTGTGGCCTTTAATCTTCCACACACGCCCATGAATGGATGCAGATAGGTGCCCTTTACCCTCAGGTTGTGGCCTCAGTTTTTCTTTAGAGTGCAGCCCATTCCCTCATGGGCACCTGAAGCATGCTCAGCCCTGTGTATTGTGGTCAGTTCCCTGACTCCCAGAGTAGCTGTGACTTTGAAGGACAGCCATGTGTGTCCCCTTTGCTCTTCCCCCCATTTCTTGCTCTAGTTGATGGATCACTTTGCTCAACCCCAAGCCCTGTGTTATTCATTTTACTTGAAGTTCTTCCTAGTCTTTCCCCTGCCTCTGGCCAGGCTTGTCTTCTGCCCCTCTGAGCTCTTTGCCTCTCCAGCTGTATTTCTCCTCACACCTCTCCTCTTTCACTGCTGCTTGGATGAGGTGGAGGTGTTCACGGGGCAGTAGGGCTCCCTGACCTAGGACACACCCCTACAGATCCTGGGATGCTGGATGGAGGGCAGAAGCCAGCCTCCACCAGGTCCCTGATTTGTATTTGAGGACAAAAATGCCTGCTTGTGACTATAAGTCCCATGTGTTGGGGTTGAAGGTCATGCTTGGTGCCTAATGGCTGTGACCAACAGAACTCACACTTTACCCTGGCTCTGATTCCTATGGGTCAGATGTAACCACTTTGAGGGCTCTGCTTTTGCTGACCTCTCAGGAGGTCAGATGTGAGATCGTCTATCTCCATGTTGGGCTTCTGGGTTTTGTTCAGCTTTTCATGGAGTGACTGAGGGAAGAACCTTGTCTGGGGACCCTTGGGACTGGGCAGTGCCTTGTGACATCTGATTCCCCATCTGAGCCAGGGCAAAAAGGCTGACAGGCTGCCCTGTAATACGTCTATTTCCTTCTTCATATGGCCACCATTGACTTCAGTACCCAGAAGGAGACGGTGAGACCTATTACTATGAGTACCCATATTATGAAGACCCTGAAGACCCAGGGAAGGAGCCTGCCCCTACACAGAAGCCAGTGGAAGCTGCCAGAGAAACCACGGAGGTTCCTGAGGTCTGAGCTGGACTGGGGTTGGGTTGGTGAGGTTCCTGGTCCCTCCAGGTCATGGAGCAGGAGAGGATAGAGAACCAGAAGCTATGAACATGGTGGCAAATACCCATAATCCTAGCTCTTGGGAAGCTGAGGCAGGACAGTCATGAGTTCTAGGCTGGCCTGGGCTACAGAGGGAGACATCCCTCCTCCCCACATATAAGGAAGCTTAAACTGTGGTTGGACCTTTCCTGGTGTGTGCCTGGGTGGTCCTCCATCTATGCATGCCACCCCTGGTAGCTGGTGTTCACGCACTGGCTGCTTCCCTCCTTATTGTCTCTGTCTTTCAGGGACTGAGGATCATGAATCCAAGTCCATAGGCCTTGGCTGAGCTGTGCATCCACGCACTGATATTCACTGTCATACTAAAGGGTTGCTAGGAAGGGTGCTTAGAAAACCCTGAATCCAGGCCCCCTGACTGCCTCTCTCTACTCTCTGCCCCCAGGAACAGACCCAGCCCCCACCAGAAGCCCCCACGGTGCCCGAGACCAGCGACATTGCGGGCAAGGAGGATGATCCAGGAATCGGGGACTATGATTATGTGCCCACTGACGACTACTACACTGTCTCCCCTTATGAAGACCTTAGCTATGGCGAGGGGGTAGAGAACCCTGACCAGCCCACCAACCCTGACCCAGGGGCCGAGATCCCCACCAGCACCACTGTTACCTCTAACACCTCCAATGTAATTGTCTTCCTTCCTTTATGTCTTGACCTAGGGGAGGGGTGGGGAAGGAGCCAAGGTTGTGGCTCTGGGTCCCTGCTGAGCACCTACTTCCTTGGGAGGCCTTCATTACCTAACGCCCCCATCCCCATACTCTAGCTACTGAGTCGTCTGTAGTGGGGTTGAGTGTGTTTGGAAGCCATCAGCTTTTCTGAGTTTATTTCCGTCTTCCCCTGCAAAATAGGTAGAATAGCTCTTGGGCTCTGAGTTCGCATTCTCAGGGTGGCACAGGCAATGCTGTAGATTTTGGCTCCAGGAGTACCATCCATGAGCATCACAGAGTAACCCTCACAGGGCACTGTGTTCTTCACTGTTAGAAAGACCCTCGATTTCCAGGGTGTGAGCTTTAATCGCCCACGGAGTGGATGGAGTACGGCTGTAATCACCAACTGAGTGCAGACCTCCCCAGCAGGGAGTGCTGCTCTCAGAGACTGCTCTAACTTGTTATGGGGTCTTGGGCAGTTTGGGGAAACATCCCCATGGTGGCTGGGAAGTGTGCAGAAAGGCTGTGGGGAGCACAGGTCTTCCTTCATGGGATCCCCTTGGGCTTCAGCTCTACATGTTCTGTTGTGGGGCCACTGGTTGCTTTATGTCCAGCAGAAATTGCTGGACTCAGTGCCTGTCAGGTGAAGTCTGCAGTCACTTGGTCGGCCTCCCTGAGTGACGCTGCCACTTCTGCCCCTTCGTCTACAGCCAGCTCCACCCCCAGGGGAAGGGAAGGATGACCTGGGCGGTGAGTTCACTGAGGAAACTATCAAGAATATAGAGGACAACTACTATGACCCCTACTTCGACCCTGACTCCGACTCCAACGTCTCGCCCTCAGAGATAGGGCCAGGCATGCCGGCTAACCAGGACACCATCTATGAGGGGGTAAGAGACCCAAGCTCCTCTCTGCTTGGGGGCATCTGGGTGGGAAAGCGGCAGCCCTTCCAGAACTCTGAGGGTGGCAAGAGTGACCTAGGATGCCACACAGCTTCATTCTTCTCTTTTAATTAACTAACTAACCAATTAACTAATTTGAGATAGGATCTCACTATGTAGACTCGGCTGGCCTGAAATTCACTGTGTAGACCAGACTAATACTCAGATAGATCCAACTGCCTTTGCCTCCCAAGTGCTGGGGTTAAAGGCATGTGCCACCATGCTTGGCTGGGCTTCGTTCTTTAAAGTGGTCCCTCCGACTTCCATCATCTGCGCCTCATTGCCTGATTGCGTCGGTATATGCGCGGCTAGGCGTGAGGTTCAGCCTACTTCGGCTCGTTAGCCTCCTCCTGGACACGAGGGGAGGTACCTGGCTGTAGGGAGCACTCTGCTTTTGCCCAACTTTTGTGTCACGTGGACTTTTTGTTCCCTTTCTCTCCCCCGTTCTTCCTCTCTGGAATCTCACATTCCACCCGGACCCCCCACCCAGATCGGAGGACCTCGGGGTGAGAAAGGACAAAAGGGAGAGCCAGCCATCATTGAGCCGGTAAGGACCCAGATGTGTGTGTATATAAAGTGTGTCTCTTTGCTGCGGTGCCCTCTGCTAAGTCCGTGGTGGTTTTGTTGCGTGTGGCCAGACTGTGGGTCCCTTCTCTGCCCGTCAGGTGCTCGAGAAGCCACCCCCATGCATTCTACAGCCTCTGTATCAGAGACGCTTGGGAGAATCTGGGGTGGGGTGGAGTATTCCAGAGCTCAGTCAAGGTGCTGGGCAGCATGTCGATCACAAGCGTCTGTACTTAGAGAGAAGGCAGAGGGTCAGAGTACCTCTGTGGAGATTTCTTTAGAAGAAGGGACACAGACCTCGAGAGGGAGCCTGGACCAAGGCTGGGCGGGGAACTCATAGTGTAAGTAGCAGGCAGGGGGGTAGTTAGTTAAGGACTTCACCTCTCTGTGTCCCTAATGCTCCCCATTTGAGTCCCTTTACTGCAACCACTGAAACAGGAAAGACTTGTCAAGGGAACGTCAGAGGTTCTGAGATAGGATTCACCTCTGAGTAAAGCCCCATGCCATTAGGCAGTGGAATCCTGCCTATAGAGAATGTGTGGTTGTATACAGCCCATGTTCCCTCCTGGGTCAGAGAGTTTTGTGGGAGTCTGGCCTTGTTCTGCTGGGTGCTGTGGGTGTGTCTGCTTGGGTCTCAGAGCCGCTGACATTAGGACTTTGACCTCAGGGAACAGAAAGCTGTGTGGTTGACTGCACTGGGCTTGGTAGCCATGGGACTGTGGGCTCAGAATTGGCTTTGCCTAGAGGATCTGGCCACCGAGGTCATCTGTCCTAACATAGCCCATGAGTACCCAAGGAAGGAGGCACTTGTCCTACATCCCAGCCATTGCAAGGCTGGGGAGCTGTTAATTCCACTACCAGGACTTGACTCCCCAGAGCTGAGTTCATAACATGACCTTGGGGCTCCCTCAGAGAGAGAATCAGCCTCATAGGGCCACCACCTTCATGCAGGGGGAGGGCCTTGCTTGGAAGTGCTGAGTAGGCCAGTGGACCAGGGCAAGATCCCTGGCTTGGCCTCTTTCCTGGCCAAGGGAAGCCTTGGAAGAAAGCCTCTTGCTGGTTCCAAGGGCTCTGCCTGCTTCGCATGCCCCTGGTTCCCCCTGGCTGTGAGCCCAAGGACGTATATCCTCTTTCTAGATCCCTTCCCTGACCTCCCTGTGGATCTAAAGATGACAACCCTTATCTGAAGCTGTATGATCAGGGCACAGAGGGAAAGGGGGCAGGGCATGAGGGTAGCCCAACTAAGGGGCCCCTTGCTCAACCCCATGGGAAACCTCAACCCAAGTTCATGTTCACAGGAGGCTAGTCCTGAAGAGGAGCATCTCAAGGGACCAAGGCAGACTTATCCCCAGGCACATGTCTGAGGCTTGTTCTACTCTGTGCCAGAGGAAGGTTGTTGCCCAGATGGCCTCTCTGCTATACTAGACCTCCATACAGCACTGCCTCAATGGGGCTTATTGGCCTCAGGTGGACGTGGTCATCCATTGCAGCCCCTTGATGGGGTCCCTGAGGCTTCATGAGAAGGAGCGTCTTTCCTGAGTAGGGCAGTGAGATCCCAGAGAAGGCAGGTACCCAAGGCTCTGCAGGCCTCAAGGTTGGTTCCCAGCTTCAGAAATCGTTGAGTGGTACCTCAGAATAAGACTTACTTAAGCTTATTGTGTGTAGAGCTGGTACCCCAGTTTTGAGAGTAGGAGAGGCATGGAGAGAGCCCCATTAGAGAGCTGCCCTGAAGGAGGCTGTGGGTGAGGGCGGGCCAGAGGTAGCACTGACAAGGATAAGACGGTCCAATGGACACCCATCTCTAGACGATCCAGTTCCTCTTCTCTGGTAAGAGCCCAAGCCATCTGGAGGCGGTTACAGAAGCCTCCCCCACCCCCGCCTGTTGCTTGCTTCTTCCCAGCTTCCTCAGAGTGTCCACAGGGCCTTTGGCGAGTCCCCACGGAGAGATGGTGTAAACATTTGGAATTGTCAACCTGGAACGTCGCCAGATGTCCTCAGAGCCTTAGCTATACATAAACAGATGGAAGCCTTGGGAACTGGCAGTGTATACCCTGCCCTGTGTGGAGGCGGCTGCTATCCCCTCTTCCCCACACCTGTCCCACAGAACTACTGAGTACAGTGCCAGTCCGTCCCCTGCATCCAGGAGGGACATAGCTGGCCCTCCCTGCTCAGGTTTAGCTCCTCTCATTTATCAGCAAGACAAGGGGCTCCTTAAAAGGACAGATCTGACTTGGCAGAGACGAGACAGACCCAGTGTAGCCTTGGCACCAGCCTACAACGGGCTCAGGGACCAGTAAGTGCTGAGTTGATGCCTCTCACCTGTTATACCCACTCTACCTTCCTGGTTTATCATTGACCCTTTTTGGGCAGAGGAGACCATGTCTCAAGTAACTCAGGCTGGCCTTGAACTTCCTAACCAGTTGAGGATAACCTCAAACTTCTGATTCTTCTTTCCCCCTCTTCTTAGTCCTGGGAGTTCAAATCCAGGGTTACAAAGTATGCTAGGCAATCACTTTACCAAAGGACCCCAGGCTCCGCCATTGCTTCTAGTTTGTTCTGCCTAGCAGGTGGATGGATCTCTATTAAGAATGGTTTGGGGGCTGAGAGTGACTGTATATGCCTATGATACCAGCGACTGGGAGGTTGAGGCAGGAGGATCTGAGCTCTGTCTTTACTCACTGAAAAGTAAACAATTGTCTTCAGTTTGGCCAAGTCTAAGATTTTTTTATTTCTGGTTTTTGTTTAACCGTATGCATTTAAGGAAATAAAACAACATGGCCTTTTATCATCATCATCATCATCATTGTCATAATTTTTATTATTATGTATGTAGGTACATTTTGGTACGGGTATGTACAGTGTATGCCTGTGGATTTGCGTACATACATGCAGAGGCCAAAGGTAGATGCCAACTGTTTCCTTCAATTGCTTTCCACTTTATTTTTTTAAAATATGTCTGAAGTGTTTGTCATGTATGTGAAGTGCCCTCAGCACCCTGAAGAGGGTTTCCCTGGAGGTAGGAAAGTGGTGAGCTCAGCCCTTGTCTAGACTGCTGGGACAGTGAACTCCAGGGCTCTGCCTGTCTCCAGCTACAGGTGCAAGCCTAGCCTTTATATGGATCCTGGGATCCAGACTCGGGTTCTCATGCTTGCACACTTTATTGACTCAGCCATCTCTCCAGCCCTCAAGACAGATGCTTTGACATACATGACGAATGTATACACAGCGAGGAGCTCAGTCTGCCACCCTATGTCCCAGCCTTTCTTTGTGTGAGCGTGAGTCAGTGTGTGAGTGTGGCTTATTAGGGGTTAGTGAGGGTAGCTGAGATTGTTTCTGGTAGGCTGCTAGTGAATAAACCCTTTCAGTTACAGAGACCTTCTCCTGTAGTTCGAGCCCCAATGTGTTAGGAGATGGTGGGGTTGTGAGGTGCCGCTTAGGTTCAGCTTGCCTCGGAAGGCCACGGGACCAGGGCTATTTCCCCTAGCCACATGTCTTCCTTTTCATTCTGACCTGGGGTGATCTGGGACTGGCCTCCTGTGAGCTCCCACAATGCTGCCCCCACTCCGCAGAACAACAGTGTGTGTGTCTGCAAAGACAGCTGCTGTCTCCTGGGCCCTGCTTGAACCAGTGGTTCCCTTAATCCCTTCTCCACTTCTGAGTCCTCCCAGCTGCCTGTCAGGGGAAATGGGAAGTGGGAAGATGAGCTGCTTGGATGAGTTCTCTGTGTACATCGCACGCACAAATATTTCTCCTAGTGCATCTGTGTAAACATGGCGTATAGCTTCCCAGAGAGAGACCAGGAAACCTCGTAGGCAGGGTGGCTAAGGCTTGTGTGTGTGTGCGCAGGGTACTTTGCTGCCCCTAGTCAGTTGGGCTTCACTCCCCTCTCACCTCCTCAACCATGGTGACCAGGATTTCAGGCCTCACACCTCCACTTGAACAGGTCTTTCCGCTTGTCAGGGTAAAGCACACATTTGACAAGGGAGTCATGTGTTTTCAAAGACATATCGGAAGCATGATGGCACCCATTATCTCTGCAGAATAGCCATTCTTAGTTCCTTTGGCTGGGAGACTAGACAGGGACCTGGCTCAAGGCCAAGGCCTCCAACCACTCACTCCATTATTCCTGCAGTCTTGAGAACCAAGACGTATCTATGGATGTCTCTCACATGGCTAGCCTGTACAGCATGCCCGTGTCATGACAGGGTCCTGCAACTACCCACCCAAAGCCTGTCCCAGACTCTGGGTACTAGCCTGAAGACCTCGTGTGCAGATCCCCACTCCCCCAGCACAGATTCTCCCGAAGTGTGCAAGGGACTCAGAATGTTCTGGGTGGGCAGTGATGGGGAGACCAAGAGAAGTCTGGGTGGCGCTTTTTGAAGGGGGTATCCAGAAATGCAGGTCCCAGAGCAGAAAAGCTCTTCTTTTAAGACAAGGCCGGTCTGGAGAGATGGCTCAGTGGGTTAAGAGCTTTGCCTGCCCTTCCAAAGGTCTTGAGTTCAATTCCCAGCAACCACATGGTGGCTCGCAGTCATCCCTAATGAGATTTGGTGCCCTCTTCTGGTATGCACTGTATACACAATCAATCAATCAATCAATCAATCAATCAGTCTTAAAAAACAAAAAAAGACAGGGCCAATAGGTACCAGGAGGCCTTATCCCCTTTAGGGGTTGGACACAGTGAGGGCTAGTGAAGTTGTGGGTCAGCTGACTTCAGCAGGGTGCTGGGCCCTTGGGAGGAGCGACTGGGTGTATCCTGAGTACTCTCAGCCCATGTAGCTTCTTTTCCTCAGCCTTTGTCAGTCCACCTAGGTGCCTGGTCCTGGGGTCTAGTCCACCCCTTGGGTGGTTGGATTTCAGGTAGATGACAGAGGACAAGATTAGTATTCGGGGCCTTTTCTCTCCCTCTGGCAAATTGTGGCGCTTTTGTCCAAGCTGTGTTTGAGGAGAGCCTGTGGAATACAAAGATGGTAAGAGTGTGTTCCCCACCACAGGCCACTGCCCGTGAGCCCTGTAAGGACTGATTGATGGTTGACTGTTAGGAATCTAGACTGTTGTCCACCAGCTCAGTTGGGCTGGGCCAGTGATCTCAGATGTCCCTTCTCTTCCTCTCTGCAGGGCATGCTGATAGAGGGGCCCCCAGGCCCTGAAGGCCCTGCTGTGAGTGTCTGCATTTATTACCCTCTGACCTGTGGGAGGAGGTACTGTGGGGGGCCTCCTGGGGAGAAAGTTGGATGCTCTTCACCTTTGCATATACCTGGGTCTACTTCCGTGACCCCCTCTGCTCTCTCTTAACCAGATAGGAAGGCTTTGCCCTGAGGCCTTATCTGAAACCCTGTCTTGATTTTATTTTTAATTCCAGGGTCTTCCGGGACCACCAGGAACTACGGGTCCTACTGGCCAAGTGGGTGACCCTGGAGAAAGGGTAAGAGGGTGATTCAGTTCCAAGACCATGTGCTCAGTGGGCTTGTCTGTGCGTTCTTCCTCTTGCCCTGTCTGGTCTCTTCTTCCTTCCTGCTCTGCCTCCCACACTGTTTTCTGTTGTAGAAATGACACTAAGAATGTCTACTCCTTCCTCACATGACCCCTCTCCCCAGGGCCATGCATTGTCACCCCCTCAGGTCTCTATGGAGTTGATTCTCACCTGGCTCTGTGCTACGAGTGTAAGATCCAAGCTGGGCCCAGAGGCAGCCGGCATCAGCCTTGGCCGGTAGTCAGAGGCCCTTGGCAGTGGCCCTACGTTAGCGAGACAAGCTTGAAGGGTCCTGGTGGGACACAGGAGCAGCTACTGACCTGGAGGCTACATTAGTTCTCACGGTAGCCCCTCTTATTAGAAATCAAGACACTGGCTGGGCAATTTGTTCTGGGTGGGATATGAGCCCTGTCCTGGGCCGTGGACTCCTACCGACACTTGGTGGTGGGTTGGAGTACTGCAGCCTGTGGGTTTCTGAAGCCCTTCTTTCTTTCCTTCCTTCCTTCCTTCCTTCCTTCCTTCCTATTTTTCCTTTTATCCCTCCCTCCTCCCGTTCTCTTTCCCTTCCTCTCTTCCTTCTCTCTTTTTCTGCCTGCTCATCTAATAAATGCCATCACTATAGTCAGACAGCCGAGCTGCAGATGAGAATGTATGTGTGTTAAGGACAGGTGTTTGTCCCTGTAGCTGATTCTTGGCCCAGCACAGGAAGACATTTAAGCAGGAGGTAGAAAGGAAGATGATGGTGGGCTCTCATAGAAGGGTGTCACATGGCATGTTCTGCTGGCTGTGGCCTCTTCAAGGCAGTGGTTGAGGATACCATGGTGGTTTAGGCAATTCTGGGTAAATGGTAAAGTTAGGTGCCTGTAGATACAGGGAAGACTGGGGGTTGTAGGGGTGGGTGTCTCTGCAAGCTGGCTTCAGTTTGGGCATCTGAGTTCACTTTGTAAGACAGCCTGAACTCTGACCTTTGTCACAGCCTCTGTCCCTGTAAGCCAGGGCTTGAAGAATATTCCTGAACACGTTAAAGTTGCTCGAGATGGCTTTGTGCTCCCGTGAGTGGTCCTTCCTTCCATTCACACCTTACTCTGGGTCTGTCCAAACGAGCAGGTGCCCGCTCTATCCTGTCCTTCAGGAGCTGAGGACCAAAGCAAGGAGGGTTCCTCATTCATGGCCAGGGGAGCTTGTGGCCACAGTTCTCGGGCTCCAGTCTGTGTGGAGACAGTGGGGGCTCTCTGAAATGACGGGAGCTGGCCCCTGCCTTTCTCCAAGCCTGACACTTAGTCTTCAGCCTCCAGCCAGACACAGTCACCCGCCTTTCCTCTCTGAATTCCTTATACCTAAGTCAGCTCCCTCACTCTCCATCCCCACAACCCCCTATGGTGTTATTTCTTTCTCTGGGTTTCTAGAACGTTTTCTGCTATGGAGTCTTTGTCTTGCCTACCCTGTTTTCTGAATTCTCATTCTCAGTGCTGCTGCTCAGCTCCGTCCTTCTGTCTCTTTGACCAGTTTTCCTCCCACTCTGTCTGTAGGGTCCCCCTGGGCGCCCAGGTCTTCCTGGTGCTGATGGCTTGCCTGGTCCTCCAGGAACAATGCTCATGCTGCCGGTAAGTGTCTCTAATTGACTGAGGAGGTTGCAGCCGGTAGGTCCTGGAAGGGATGTGTGTGCACGGATATGTGGTAGCCCAGGAATGGGGTTTGTGAGAGTGATTCATTGGAAGCTGTAACATGAGGGGCTGGCTTGTTGGGGTATCTGTCCCGCCCAGTACTTCACAGCTGGCAAGCCCCAAAGAAAATCACACACAGGACTCTTATAGATTATAAAACTGATTGGCCCATTAGCTCAGGCTTTTTATTAACTCTTGTAGTTTATATTAACCCATTATTCTGATCTATGTTAGCCATATGGCTTGGTACCTTTTTCAGCTGTCAGCTCACATGTTGCTTCTTCAGTGATCTGGGCAGGAATGCTGAGGGAGCTTCCTGCTTCCCAAAATACTCCTGTTCTCTTTGCTCCACCTCTACTTCCTGTCTGGTTTTCCCGCCTATACTTCCTGTCTGGCCAATCAGCATTTATTTAAAATATGATTGACAGATTGCGGACAATTCTCCCACACCAGGAAGCTACCTCTGTGACTTAGGTACCGTCTTCTGTAACTGTGGTGGTTTATTCTAGAACCTTCTAGGTGCCGCTTTCCATTGGAGTTTCTATTTAACCCTAGGTAATAAGAATGAAGCCCAGGCTCATATTCTGTGTCTGTGATAAGTGGAGCATGGCCCCTCAGGTCAATCATTCATAGATGAAAAGACTTGGAGCTCAGAGAGTAGCTGAAAGCCAACCTGGCCTCAGGGTCCAAACCCAGAAGTTTCCTAGATATCTATGTCCTTGTAGCCAGCACCCAACCTCTGCTGCTGGCACTGGGGTCTCTGTAGTTACAGGAGACCATGAAGGGAGGGGTACCTGCCCTAGACTCTTGTCTCTCCTCCAGAGAACAGCTAGGGTCGTTGCAGAAGTGCCCTCAGGAGGGAGGGTTCTAAGTAGGACAGGCCTGACAAACCTGGGGAAGTGAGGAGTTAGAAGCAGGCATAGGCAGGGCTGGGCCAGCCCCTCAGCCACCTTGTACTTGACTGTTTTCCTTAGCCCTCGCCTCCTTCACTGTGCCTGAGCCCTGTGTCCTCAGGACTGGATTCAGCCCTGTGCCTTCGTCACTGTGTTCCCAGGTCTGTGCCCTCAGCACTGTGTTCTCAGTTCTGATCTTTAAGTACAGCGCTCCAGGGCCAGCTGGTGCGATGGAGGACGTAAAGTTGGCAGGTTCCCCTCTCAAAGGCAGATGATAAAGAAAGTGGCATTTGGTGCTCCTGGTCTCTTTCTAAGTTCTCAGAACAAGAGCACCAGCTGCACTGTATGCCCAAGAGGCATGTCACACTAAGGGCGACCCAGCCCATGGTGTCCCTTGCAGGTCCTTTGGACCTAGCCCTATTTCTTTGATCCCTGGCTATGCTTTGCAGTGGTGAGAGTCTGTGGCTCCTCAGGGTGCAAAACAATGAAGGCCCAAAGTCCTTTGCGGGCACAGACCAGGTTTCAGGTGTCCAGGCTACAGGAAGAACTGTGGTAGCTGTGGAACACAGGTACACGCAGGTTCTGGGATGGGGAGTCTCTGCTTACTTAAGGCCCACAAGACCCACCTCATGTGGGGTCAGAGTGGGTGCCATGTTCCTTCCCTAGTGACCCTTCCCCTTGCTCTTTCAGTTCCGGTTTGGAGGTGGTGGCGACGCTGGTTCTAAGGGCCCCATGGTCTCTGCCCAGGAGTCCCAGGCCCAGGCTATCCTCCAGCAAGCCAGGGTGAGTAGTGTGGATGCCCCAGGTTCTATGATAGAGCCTGGCCCCAGTGGCTGCAGAGATCAAACGATTGTCTCACAGTTTGCCTGGTTAGGAGCATAGGGAAGGTTGGGTCCTCCATGTATGGATGGTGAATGTAGGGAGCTTAGGGAGAGTTTTCAGGGGTGCCCTGTCCACAACGAGGGGCAAGAGGCCTCTGGATCTCTACAGATTGTCTGACCCAGTGAACCCCTTTTCTGCCATATGCAGACACTCACCTTTGTTGCCAGGCCTTACACTTGGGGCTAGCCATGGGGAAAGGAATTCTCAGGGCTCTGGGTGGGGATGCTAGATGGTTGACTCAGTTTCCCTGGGCTGGGGTTCTTATTGAGTGCAAAGACGCACCCTTGGAGAGAGCTTGTAGGTCCAAGGTCCCTCACTCTGGACCCAGAATCTTTCATGGACCCACAAGGCTCTTGCACTGGGCCCAGGGTCTCTCACACTGAGCTCAGAGTCACAGATCTGGGTCCAGGGTCCCCTCCTTCTTGAGTAAGCCCATCAGGAATGGCCTCATTAGAGAGTGTGGCTCCAGATTGCTGATGGCCAGTGACTGGCCCGATGCTGCCACTGGCCAGTGGGGTGGGCAGATGGGTGATCCTCTGATGAAGTGTGGACGAAGACAACATAGAACCCCTTGTCTGGAAGCTATTGACATTACTCTGCAGTGCAGAGCAGACGTTAATGGCCGAGTGCACTGGGGTAGCTGAAGGACGGTTTCAGTGTTGTGTAGTCGCCATGGGATAGGCTAGCCAGTGATAAACCCAAATCGGATATGGCTCTTCTGGGATTAGGTTTGTTGACATGGGCCTGCCTGGCTGGCCTCTTTATCTGTGTGCATTTTATCAAAGTCAACTGAGGGAGAGAGCTTGTAAGACTTTCTTTCTTTCTTTCTTTCTTTCTTTCTTTCTTTCTTTCTTTCTTTCTTTCTTTCTTTCTTTAAGATGTATTTACTTTTATTTTCTGTGAGTATTTTGGCTGCATGTGTGTGCTTGGTGCCCACAGAGGCCAGAAGAGAGATTCAGATCCTCTGGAACTGAAGTTACAGACGGTTATGAACCACCATGTAGGTGATGGAAATTGAACTTGGGTCCATTGGAAGAAGTGTGCTTAACCCCTGAGCCATCTCTCCAGCTCCGATATTTTTGGAATGTTTTTTTAATACTGTATATTCTTATTTGTAAATTTAAAATCATTTAATATTGCATATTTTTATTATTGTGTGTATAGGGGTATATTTGTACCCATGTGTTCATGTGTGTGGAGGCCTGAGGTGAATGTCAGGCATTTTTCTCTATCGGTTTCTACTTTATTTAGAGAAAAGGTCTCTCACTGAACCTGGAACTCATTGGTTTGCTTAAGCTGGCTAGCCAGGAGCTCCAGGAATCCAGCTGTTTTTGCCTTCCAACACCGGGGATAGAGACAGGTGCTGGAACATCTGGCCTTTTACACGTGTGCTGGGAATCCTAACTCAGATTCTCATGTTTGCACGGCAAGCATTTTGCCATCTCCCTAACCCTCAGAGAGCTTTAAAATGCAAAATAGCCTACCAAACTTAAGATGGCACTGCGGTGGAGGTTGCAATCCCACAAGAGAGGGGAAGGCAAGTTGAGCCTGTGTGGCAGCTGGCAGGAGCGACACCAAGTTGCAATTCAGTGTGTGAAAAAGAGCCCTGCGTCCCCAGCTCTGCCATGCGCCACACACACCTCTGTCCTTGCTGCAGATTACCTAGTGCCTCTCTCAGGAAGTGAAACAGTCCTGACCCACAGGGAAAATATACACCTCCCCTCAGCCCAGGAAGGGAGGCTACATTTCAGATTTGGTTTAAGCCTGGGATGGGGAATCCACAAGCAGGGCCTCTCCAACAGGGCTGGAAGAGAGAAAGGCATTGAGGACCTTGCCCACAGTGGGGCAAAGGGTAACACTGATTTCTCCCTCTGTGCCCTGCTTCCCTGTGGATGCTGAGAGCCCAGAATTGAGGGGGGAGACCTCTTGACAACCTCCAGTCCTAGGCCCCTTTTCCTCCTGGCCATGTGTCACAGAACAAGAGCCAGAACGCCAGGACAGGTCCACCCATAGCCTTTTCCTGATCTCCTCCTCTTTCCTTTTCAGTTGGCACTGAGGGGACCAGCTGGTCCAATGGGTCTCACCGGGAGACCCGGCCCCATGGTGAGTGATTGGCAGGTCTGGGATCAGTGGGGGTGGGGAACATTGGGTGGCCCTCTGCCCAGGACCTTTGTTCCCAGATGGGAGCCAGTTCAGACAGGTGGCCTCTTGGAGCTGTTTCATCCCATTGTGGGAGCATGTGTCGGGGGGATGGCTGTGTATAAGGTCACTTAAAGTTTTGGGGGATTTCTGGGACATGATCTTCAGTTTAAGCATGATGGAGGATGGGGGTGCTCTCTCCTCACCTCTGCATCTGAGCTCCAAACTCTCCCTGTAAAGCACACTTTTGTAAGGAGGATGCTTGTTTCGTTCCCGGCCGCCCAGGACCGAAATAATCACACAGAAACCATATTATTTAAATCACTGCTTGGCCCATTAGCTCTAGCTTCTTATTGGCTAACTCTTACATCTTAATTTAACCCATCTCCATTAATCTGTGTATTGCCATGTGGCAGTGGCTCACTGGGTAAAGTTCTGTCTGGCTCCAGTGAGGCTACATGGCTTCTCCTGACTCCGCCTCCTTTCTCCCAGCATTCAGTTTAGTCCCCTCCCAACTCTGTTCCCCTATAGCTCTGCTATAGGCCCAAAGCAGTTCCTTTATTTAACCAATCATATTTACAGCATACCGAGGGAAATCCCACATCAGCACACACTCTAGGCTGCTCTCACTTTTCTCTTATCACAGGGTATACAGCAGGTTGGGGGAGGGGCGGCTGTGCTAAAGGCCTGGAGATGTCCTCAGAGGCTGAGCCCTTACAGCTCTGCTGCTGCACCTTTGGTTCATGAGGAATCAGCTTTTCTGTCTTTCTGTAGTCTTCTTCCTTACAGTTCTGTTTCAGGGTCAAAGGTGACCCCAGTGCAGGGCAAACCACAAGGTTTGTAGTCTTCCCTTGCCTGTTCTAGGTGATTAACTCTCCTCTGGGGCCTCACAATACAGCATGGATGTCATATATCCAGGGACACTGAGCTGTCTTTCAAGTGTTAAAGACATGCTCTGGGAAACAGGAGTAGGACCTTGCAGGACACAGCTACCTCCCCACCCTCCAGAGTCGAAGACAGAACCCAGAGTCTTGCACTTGCTAGGCAAGCACTCTACGACCAAGCTAAATGCCCAACTCCAAGGACACAGAATTCTTGTACCATTGGGCCCCTGACTGACTTTGTCATATGCTACCTCCCATCCCCAGGCCTGGGTTCAGTACCTGGCTCCCAGGAGTGAAGCCAATCTCCCAGGAACTCTTGAGCTGAACCATAGGCTAATTAGTGTGCTCCAAGCTGGGGACTGTCACAAACCATAGGCCAACTTGTCCTCTCCGGGCTTCATGGACTCTGTGCTCTTCATGGACCATGAAGAGCAAGGAACCCAGCAGCTACAGGTCTCCCTGCCTCCCCAGAAGTCAAGCTCTTTGCTTTGTCACAGTAGGCAGGCCAGCCTCGTGATCCACCTTGTGCAGCCTTGCAGTGTCCTGTGTCACTTGTCTGAGTACGCACTAATCCTATACTGTCTCCTTAGGGTCCTCCTGGGAGCGGAGGCTTGAAGGGTGAGCCAGGAGACATGGGACCTCAGGTATGTGTAAACCTACCTCTGCTTTGCTTTCAGGATGGCGGCTCCTGATTTCTCATGGTGGCCCAGCAAAATCAGGAAGAATTGTGCTTCGATGCCTTAGAACAGGCTCACTGTGCCCTCACCTAATGCAGGAGTTCTGCCTTGTGCCTGGGATGCCCACATGTGGGCAACTGGAACAGGAAGCCTTAGGCTAGGTTGACAGGCATGGGGATGATTGTTCTCCTTCCTCAGAAGAGGGGCATGCCCTGATGCTTTGCCCTCTGATGTCTGGCAGGGTCCGCGAGGTGTGCAAGGTCCGCCCGGCCCAACGGGGAAGCCCGGAAGACGGGTAAGTGCTAGGTGCTATGATCATGTGATATGGCGGCAGCATCTGTGCCCAAACCTGAGGTAGATTGTCCCCTTCAGAGCCTCATTGTCCCGTGTCTACCTCCAAGGCTGTGTTGAGCTTCTGCTTAGGAACAAATGCTGTGTCCAGGGGTGAGATGGTTTACGTATCGCTAAAGGCATCTCCCAGACAGGTCACAGCAGTTGGATCCACGTTATTGATGGCTGATAGTGGGCCTTGTCTTTGGGGCCACCTCGTGCCTCCTCTCTAGCAGTGACTGTTTCAGGTCCTGCCTTCCTTCAGTCCTCTAGCCTTTTGGGGTTTCCTGTCGAGAATGGTGTCCTCCTGGATGGATCCCGCTGGTTTCCTCAGGAATACAGCTACTACAAGATGCCACACTATTAAAGAGTGATGACCACACTCCAGGAAGACTAGAAAAGTCTTAATTAACCCTTCCTGTTGCTACAAACAGACCTTATCAGGTGGTGCATATGGAGACCAAAGCCACCACTGTCCACATGGCCTCCATGCCTGACCATGCCTCCCCTAACCCATGACCAGTTACCTATAGGAGACAGGAAAGAAGAGGCTGGTGTGTCTCACAAGTGAGCAGGGGCTTGGCAGGGAATCCCTGTTCTCTTGTGCCTCTCCTGTGGTGACCCTAGCTTATATAGCAGATGCTGAAGGTTCCCACTTGACCTTCAATCCCATGGCAATCAACTGGGCACCCTGGGCTTGCTCTCGAATATTTTCCATGACTAGGAAGCAGGTGTGAGAGTAGACAAGATGGGTGACCAGGGCAGACCCTGCCTCTCGGTCGTTGTGCTGTCTGAGTGGGACACACCCTCTGAACTCTCTTGTACTCAGATGGACTGAGAGAGGCCTGTATTGTTCCCATGAATCTTTGGTCTTTAATTTTCTTCCCAGTGGTAGCAAAGAGCTTGTCTCTGGAGCCACAAAATCAAGTTCTCTGTACTTGGTCTCCCAAATCCCATCACCCTTCCCAAGCCTAGAAGGACAGGTGGCGCCAGGCTCCTGGACAAGTCGTAGTGAGACAAACACTATATTCTTATTTGTTGGTCAGTGGTGTGGCATGGCCTCGGGCTTTTGGATCTGAGTCCCCTGTCCAGTCTGATGACACTGGACAATCGCCCTTGGCCAGGGTGCTTTCCTTGATCTCTGCCCTCAGCTTGGCTTGCTGGGAAGCTGCTCCCCGAGGATGTGGTGAGCTGCCTTTTCTTCCATATGAACTGCTTGTCTTCTCTGTTCCAGGGCCGTGCTGGGAGTGATGGAGCCAGAGGCATGCCTGGACAAACAGGCCCCAAGGTAGGCTGTCACCCATACCTCCTTACGTCAGGGGACCACATTCACCATCTTCCCTGACGTCATGTTGATGACATAACCATCATGTGTGATAAGTGTGACTATAGGGTGTGCTGACTCACTTAGATGAGTCCCTTTGGTGTGTTTTCGGGGGACAGATTGACAGTTGAATTGCATAGGCGAGCATCAATCTCTTTAAAGGGGCAGGTGCCCTCTTCTTATGGGCACTGAGTGAGGTGGGGTGGCTTCAGTTGTGAGAACCCCTTGGGAGTGTGCAAGTAAGCAGGCCACATCCTTGGGGGCATGAGTGGCCAGATGATCCCAAGTCTATGGGATGTGAATCTTCCTGTACTGCCTCGGGAAGTCAGGACCTGGACCTTGTGGGGTTGAGTAGACACACCTGTGGGAAAGCAGGGGCTCCTGTGCACGCATTGGACTTTTCTGGATGCATGACAACTGTTGCCCTCCCCATGCTGTGGACCCTGGGTTCATCCCTCTTCCCATGACATCTCTCCTCCGTGCTTGGGGTCACCAGGAACTGTCCCTGCTCAGCACATCTGTGCTGGGCTCCTGGTTCCAAAGTCCTGAATGCTTCCTGTGAACCCTGGGTTAATGGACACTGAAGACCATGAATGACAGATGGAGGGAAATATTCCTGTTCTGTCAAGTAGTTTTTGATCTTTTGCTACCAAGTCACAAAAAACCTCAAATACTCCACCCTTGATTTCATCCTACCTGGCTTGTACACCCACAAGATGAGATGCTGATACTGGGCTCCATGAGGCTGGGAGACAGGAGCCAGGGTCCCTGCAGGTGACGATGCTGGGGCCTTCACCAGTGAGTGTGAGCTGAGGTGTGTGACAGCCCTCAGGACACAAGGCTGCAGCCGTCAGGGCAGATGAGACCACCCCTGCAGGGGGAACTCAGAGTAAATGAGCGCATGCTGACTTTGCAGTGGCCACCAATAAAACTGCATGTCTGCATTCCCAAGGATGCCCTGGCTTTCGGCATGGGGACTGGCACGGGTGCAACAGTGCTCCCCCCTTCCCAGTCTCTGCCTTGCTGGGAGAGAGGAGGTGGCATATGCAGGCTCTACAGTGGCCTGAGACGGGAGCACTGTGCAGGGGCCATGAGAGCACCCTGGGTCCAGGGCGCTGAGTTGAGGGTGTGTATAGGTGTTTGATGGAGTTTTCTTGTTTTTGCAGGGTGACCGTGGCTTTGATGGCCTGGCTGGACTGCCAGGAGAGAAGGGCCACAGGGTGAGTATTTACTGCGGGATTCGGGAAGGTCTCAGGTTCCTTAAATGGGGCCAGGTTCCCCCATTTCACAGTGTCCCCGGGTAAAATGCTGTAACTGTTCACAGAACTGACCCCCAGAATGAAGTCTCTGTTGCTGGAGATCTAGGCCACAGAAGGTGGATTTCCTACTGTAGATCATGAACAAGCCCAGCAGGCATCTCATCCCCAGGGCATCACGGGGTACAGGGAAGTGAGGGAATATGCCCATTAGAACTAGCTTTAAAACCTTCTAGAACCCACTTTCTGCCTAAGGGAGGCTTCACATGCATGGGAAACCAAGCACCTATCACATTCAAACTGCAGAGACAGGACATAAGGCTGGGGCTCTGGATGGTGGGGCTAAGGAGGGCTGGAATTGGCCACCTTGGTGCCTGCTTGCCTTTCCAGCTGGAATGAATCCTCTCTGACCTGCTTTGCCCTGAAGTGGCTTTATTAGTCAATTTTAGTATTGTTTGGAACATCCAGGCACATATGTATGCGTTACACACATGTACACAGATACCTTCATGGGCATACATACAAAAGTACAGGTACACATATTCATCCACACACATATGTATATACACACATTCTTAGCCCCACACATGCATACACGTATACACATACTCACAGGCCCACACGTGTGTACACACATACAAACATGGAGACATCTATGTAAGTGTAATCACATAGGACCTAGATATATATGTGCACACATTCACAAGCACATATGCAGATAGGTACAAACAGACACAGGCATATAGACATCCAGGTGCATATACATGTATATATACAGGAGCACACATATATATATATAAACAAGTACACATGGGTACAAGCATTCATACTTACCCAGGCACACCCACACATACAGGCAGACATGGGTATACATTCATATACAATACATGCATGTGCATATACATATATGTACACGGGGATGCAACAATACAATCATGCTTATACACGGGCAAACGCACAGCCACCAGTGGCAGTCTTTGGGGGTTGGAGGTGTGTGTACAATCCTTTTGACCTACTGATGAGAGCACACATTGAGCACCTGCTACAGGCAAGGCTTGGAACCGCAGGTTTGCATGAGGTAAATTAGCCCTGACCTTCAGGGATTCTTGATCCAGGGTGGTACCTTTCTGTGGTACCCTCCCTCACCCCAAGTGCACTGTGTGCCTGCATGTCTGTGTCTCCTGCTAAACTTGCTAGGTGTTCAGTCGGATGATTCTGCTGCCATAAAGCTGTCCAGATGGGACTTAGGTGCAAGGTTCTGTGGTTAACCCCATAGACTGACCACTCAGTGTATATCCTCTTCCCAGGGCAACTAGCCTGCTCCCTGGGTGTTCAGGGTTAGACTTAAGAGACAGAGAAAGGGGCTTGGGACAGTTGTTGACAACCTGCTCTGCAGTGGTTAACATTGACACTGGTTGATTTACTAGGGTGACCCTGGTCCTTCCGGCCCACCTGGACTTCCAGGAGAAGATGGAGAAAGGGTACGTATCTCAGCATCCTTTTCCCTGGAAAACTTTGAGTGTGGGCCCGACATGGTCGGTGGGGGTACTGGGAAAAGGGGGCATGCATGTTGGCCCAGGGAGGTGCTGTGTGCTTCTGAGACCGAAGCAAGGCACAAGCATTCATTTTACCTTATCCTCCTTGCCCATGAGGGTCAAACTGTCATGGGTCTCAGAAGTGGAGCTTCTAACTATAGGAGGCAGGTGTCCCGGATCCCGTGGAGGGGAGATGCCAGGGGCTTAATGAGCTCGGCCTCTCTGCTGATCTCATCTAAATGAGGTGTCAGAGGGAGAAGCAAGGGCTAGAGGAGGAGAGCAGGGGTGGAGGAATGAGGAAAGTCATTATCTCTGGCCCCAGAGGGAGGGAAGGGCGAAACAACCGAATATAGGAACAGAAGGAGGGAAGGGCTGGCGGCGGGCTCCTTAGCCTGGGCTTAGTACCCAGAGGCCTCCTCAGGTCCGTCCCAAGTGTCTCCACTCCGAGGGGCTGAAGGTTACTCGGGCCACAGCACAGATGTGCATGGCAGAGAATGCGTGATAGGCTGTATGGGCTCCTTGCACTATCGTTGGGAGGCTCAAGAAGCCTAGGAAAGTGGGAGAGAAGCGCTACCCTCTCCAGTTTTGGACTTTGCTAGGGAGTTTCCCCCTTCTTGGCCTTGGCCTAATCAGCTGTAAAGTGAGGAAGGAGAGGGGTACTATTGGATGCCCTGCCCCTTGGTTTAGAAAATGTGGGTGTGGGTTCATGTGCATGCATTTGTGTGCCCAGCTATCTGTGTTTCGTGTACAGATTGCACTATGTTTTGTATGCCTTTGTGTGCACACAGGGTGTGCATACATATAAACTGCTGTGGATGCAAAAGTCTACTCCCAGATGCGTGCATATATGTATGTATGTTATGTGTGTATCCGCATAGTTATGCATCTATGAGCAGATGTATTGAATGTAGACACACATAAGCGAGTGTGCAGGCAGGCTGTATGTGAGTGCGTATGTCTCTGTGTGTGAGAATACAGGAGAGATGAGTTGTGTGATAGGGAGATGTGTCCTGACCAGCATCCCTGGGTGTGACCCCGTGGAACCAGGACAACCGTCCCATCTGGCGCCAGGAGGAAAAGGCTCTTCTGAGTTTGCTGTGGCTGCTTTGGACCCTGAGAGACCCTGAGCTCAGGGCAGTCTGTCCAGGGCTCCTCTGTCCCTCCTCTGATGTCTCTGTACCTCAGTTTCTGTTACTCATAAGGGTGACTAAGGCCTTGAGCTCTGCCTCATTGCTTTTGCCGCAGCTGTGAATGTAGTTGGCAAGCAGGGCCTGCGTCCAAGCCTCACAGTTCCCCCTGCAGGTGCACCCTTGAAGCTCCATAGTGAGGACAGGGGCCTCTCCTATGGGAACAGCGCTAGCAAATTAGCATACGTCCGTCCGAGCAGAGCGGACAGAACCCTGCTGTGCGGTGCAGGGAGGTGGCCTCTGTGTATCCAGACCTCAAAGTTTGTCCTTAAGCATCATCTTCTCTCTCCTCCATAGGGTGACGACGGAGAAGTTGGACCCAGGGGGCTGCCTGGGGAGCCTGTGAGTTACTGATGGGGGAGACTCTGGGCCTCAGTTCCACAGTTGGGAATTGATGGGTGTGTAGATTAGAGAGCTTGGTTGGAAGAAGGGGACAAGTGACATTTGCCCAAGATAGAAAAGAAGGACACTAGGGCCTGGTAACTCTGGGGAATGTATACTGACCCTTTCTCCGGGAGGAAGCTGCAGAAAATGCCCAGGGGCATCGTAGTTCCAGGGAAATTATGTCCCACGTGCAACATGGAGGACATTCAGAGGGGCTCTGGTGGGCACCCAAGTGTGTCGGAGTGAACAGGAAGACATGGTATGGTGTGTTCCTCAAGAATCATAACAGGCACCGCAGTAACGTGACGGGCCTCTAGGACATCGTGATATGTGTCTGGGGTGCCATGGAAGGTGTCCAGTTAGTAGCCATAGTGGGTGCTGGGACAGTCAAGGGGACTGAATAGGCCCAAGCTTGCCCCAGGCCTGGCAACTGCACCCTCCAGGGTGCTGCCTGGTCCACTGCAGGAAAAGCTGCCTTTGGCTCGCCAATTTGTATTTAAGCTTAAAACAGATTTCCACAAGGGTAAAAGGACATTAATTATCTTTCATTTACTGGCGCTCAGAAACCTACCTTCGTTATCCAAGTCAGGCGGCCGTTCGCATCTGGTGAAGCTAATTGATGAGCTATGCCGTAAACACCGCACAGGGCAGAGCGCGGGGTCGGCATGCTCGGGTTCATTTGGGATGAAATTATGCCCTAGATGTCTGATGAGCCACTGAGGAGGCTCCATCAGCGCCGCTCTCCTTAACACACATCTAAGCGGTGCCTTCTGGGTTATTAGTGTCTCAAAAATATTTATGACTAAGCATGAAAGTAATGAAGGAAGCATTTAGAACGCAGAAGATGTGAGGAAAAGGTGTCGTGTTTTTTTCATTCTAAAATGGTTCTGTCAAAATCAGGGGCACTTGAGATCCGAGGGCTGTAGGTGGACCACGTAATCCCTAAGGTGGGTGGTTCCCCTGCGGCCCTGTATCCACCCCAGACATCGGAGGCGCCTCACACCAGGCCGTTTGTGGAGGAGGCTGGAGGCACTGTGCACAGCCCTTCCATGGCCAGGGGAGGAGAGAACAGCTTGGGCTCTCCTAAGTAGCTGTCCCCAACAAGACCCTGAAGTTCCTTGCAGAACTTTTGTCTTCTGACCCTGTTCTCTGATCCCTTGGGCTCTGTCAGCCCAGAAATGACAGCATTGCGTGCCACGGGGAAGAGAGACTGAGCAAAGACTCAGCGATAAACACTGGATCCCGCGGAGCAATGCGATTTCATGAGTTTCTGTGGAGAGATTTTGTGCTCAGCTCCCGGAGTGTCAAGGGCAGATAAGAAAGACCCCCTTCCCTGAGGACATTCCTGATGTGGGGCCTGACGGTGTCTCTCGGGGCTTCTGGTTTTACCGGCTAAGCTCCAGTGGGGGTGCAGGGTGCTGGCCAGGGGCTGTGAGGGTAGACAAGCAGGGCAGGCCTCCAGCTGGGTTTCATTTTTTTCCTTGTTCTTCCTTCTTGCAGGGACCACGTGGTCTGCTTGGGCCCAAAGGGCCTCCTGGCCCTCCTGGCCCTCCGGTAAGTTCTGTCACCTCTTGGCGTATGTATTCACATTGTGGCCCCAGAAACCTTCTAACTAGCTAGTGGCACTGGGGACGTGAGGCCATACTGACCGTGGTGTGCGGCTGTAGGTATGAGGGGCTGCGGGTCATTCGTACTCATACATGAAGAACCAGAAAATGGGTAGGGTTGAGGTGGCTGGCCTCGCAGTTCTTTGAGACTTTTCCATCCCCCATTCTGGCACACATAGCCTGTTGATTTTTTTTCCTCTGTCATAAGCAATGCCTCGGGATGCCACACTGTCTCTCTGCTTCAGAGGCCTTCCAGCATCTTTGTTGGGAGTTCTGGAGGAGACAGAGTCTCATGTTTCTGACTGGGACTCTCTTTTTGGTGGCTTAGACTGCCCCTACTGTCTTCAGCCCTGCTGAGATTTTTGTAGCGCTTGGTGAAGGGTCAGTAGCCCCTACTGTGAGGGGTGGAGAGTCAAGTCTGCCTTTTCCCCAGAGAATGTAGCACCTGTAGTCACCTCAGACCCATGTCTGAGCATGTGGGGTGGGATTGTTCACTCTTCGCTAAAAGCATCTCATTTCTTTATCACTCTCCTGCAGGGTGTAACCGGTATGGATGGCCAGCCCGGCCCCAAAGGAAATGTGGTGAGTCCCGGGGGTCACATGATCTGGCTTGTGGTGGTGGTCTGTGGGCACAGTCCATGCCTGGCTGTTGGGAACTGGGGCAGGAGAGTGGGCACCTTAGCCTCTGACCCACAGCCTGGTGCTGCCCTCTGGTGGCAGAAGCCTCTGGTGTCATAATCCCAAATTGGAATTTCTTACCAAGGTTGGCCCAAGTAAGGGTCAATGCCATCAGAAGTGAGTCTATTAGCTCTAGACCTATTTCAAGGGCACACTTTTCTACTAATAAATTATTTCCTGCTCAGTTCCTGTCACACTTTCTGCCAGTGCAAGGCCACATCCCCTTTCAGAGTCAAGTCATTAATCCTGTGGGTCTAAGTATCTGCCTACTTTTATTGGTGGGTCCCCTTTTCCTGAGAGCTGTTCCCACACACTGATTCCAGGGGACGACTGTTGGACAGTTCAGAGCAGGAGGAAAAGATGAGAAGTGAAAATGGGGTTCCCCAAAAGGGAGTATGGTTCCTAGACCCTCTTCTCAGGGCCTTTGCCTCTGTTTTTTTATAGGGTCCCCAGGGAGAGCCTGGGCCCCCCGGACAGCAGGGTAATCCCGGTGCTCAGGTAAGTATTCTGGGAAAGGTGACTTGGAACATCAGGGTGGGGCCCAGGTTTGGGTCAGGTGTCTGAGAAGTACAGACTTTAGCTTTGCCATCAACATGGTTGGTACCTGGATGGGGGGGGTGATCAGTGGGAGGATGGTGGGGGTGAGGAGGGATTCCCTGGTCAGTCTCCTCATTTCCTGTTGCTTCCCCCTCCAGGGTCTCCCAGGACCCCAGGGTGCCATTGGTCCTCCAGGAGAAAAGGTAGGCGGGCCAGCTGGGTGCATGCAGAGGGTGCATGGCTCCTGGGCCCTGCAGGCCTGGGGATTTGCTGGTCTTCACTAGCAGGCATGCATACCTTGCTCTCCAGAAGGCCCTGAAGTTTAGCCCTCTGGGAACCAAGCATGCCAGCCTCAGGGAGGATCTTAAATCCTTCTCATTAATTGATTCATGCATCCTTTCCCGACTCACTCTCCATCTAGGAGGGGAGGTGCCGATTTTAGCAAGGGGCAGGGGATCCCCAAACCAGCACACACTGTTACGTATGAACTATGAGCCATTTATCGGCAATTCAGATTGAATTGGGCATCTTATTTAGTTGAGATTTGGTGAATTGGGCGCATAGTCTTCTAGCACTTACCACGTCCTGAGAGACTCCCAATGGCATCATAGAACCCCATGCATGGGTTGTTGCAGAATGTCTAGGTCTTGACTGGAAAGAAATACTTTAGGGTGGTTCTGAGGGCATTCACATCCTGGGAATGCTTGTCATGCGAACAGCCAGGCTGTGCTGGACCCGGACCTTGCTAAGAATGTCAGAGGATGGTGGCCTGGTGGCCCTGTGACTGCCCTGCCCTACCCTGCTGTGGGAGGGATTTCACGGGAGCCAGCTGTGCCAAGAGCAACTTCAGGAGGCTCCCAGGGCACCAGCATCTGCTCAGGAGATGTAAGGGAGAAGAAAGATGGGGGTGGGGTACTCCCATAGCAGGACTGAAAGTTCTGGCAGAGGAGGCACTTCTTTGGGTGCAGGGAAAACTGGATACTGGGAGCAAGGACCACAGCAGGTACCCTGAGGGAAAATATCTGAATTATTTGGGGAGTCTCGAGAGAAGGGCTGGGCATCCCAGGGTCGGAGTAAACATCAAAGGTGTTCCCTCACATACTGTCTGGTTTGTACTAGGGTCCTCTGGGGAAACCAGGTCTTCCAGGAATGCCCGGTGCTGATGGACCCCCGGTGAGTAGTGCCCCCTCCCCATCCCGCCTGCTCTCCTCCCCAAAGGGGAACTGGGGACATGGGTGTCCCTGAGTCACTGTAGGTGAAGCTCATGTGCAGTGGTGCTCGGTGCTGAGTGATTTCTAGATTCTGCACAAGCTTTCATACCGTGTTCCTGTCGCAGAGGGGATGTGGCTACACGGTGGGAGCGTTACTTACTTGTTAGGGTGTGCAAATTAGTCACCCCCCCACCCCAACTCAGCATCGTGTTTGAAACTGTGAGAGTACTGGGCTGGGCTCCAAGCCCTCACACATGTCACCGGTATGGGAAGTGAGGGGCAGGGTGTGCCGGAGGTATTTTTAGTGTTCACACACTGAATTTAGGGGAAAGCTGCTGGGAGGGGGGACATATGTCTGCAGTGAGCACAGCTGGGGAGCCAGATTAGACAGAGCCTGGAAATAGCAAGTGAGTGACAGGTCCAATCTGGGGGCAAGCTGTGCAGAAACGGGGGAGCACGGAAGAGGAAGCAGTCAGGGGTGAGTGTGTGTGTGTCGCTACCCACAGCTGCCATTCTGCCTGGAGATGTTGCAGGTTTGAGAGCTTTTCAAGTTTAAATTTAATTTAAATATTTTTAAAAGTAAATTATCAAATCTCCCCTCCAGTTTCTCCCCTCCCCCCTCCCACTATCCTCTCCTGGCTTCATGTGTTCTTTAGTGTTTAGTGAAACCGAAAGGATATATCTCGGAAAGCAGGATGAGATGTATTCATTATTTATGACAGTTTCGTTTATTGTTTTAATAACGCCATTAAAAACTAAATGCAGGGGGTGGGTGGGGGGCTAGGTAAATGCCTCCGTGATGAAAGCGACTGCCACACAAACATGAGGATCAGGGTTCAGACCCTTAGAACCCGTGCAAAGGCTGGGTGGTCATAGTGTCCACATATAATTTCAGCTCTGGAAAGCAGAGACGGGGATTTACCACAGCAAACTGGCTGGCAAGACCAGCTCTGCCAGCACGCTCTGGTCTGAGATAACCTTGCCTCAGTGACTGAGGTGGAACGGTGGTCAGGGAGGACTCCTGAGGCCAGCCTCAAGCCTCCATGGGACCACACACATACATGGGTTTACTTACATGGAAACAGACTTATAAACACACACGTGCACCACTTACTCACATGCAAAAGCAGAAAAAGGGAACAAAAAACTGAAATGGGATGTTGAGTGTGGTAATGGTAAGGGAACGGTTTGCCGTGAGCTGTTGGCTCCACCACACGCCGAGGGTCACATGGGCTGGTGCCTCTCAGACCCCAGCTTGTCTTTGGTCTGAGCGAAAAAATGCAGTCTCTGCCATCTCCACGTGGGCATGCTGGGAGTTTAGGAGTAAAGTGGCTGCCATCTCGTCGTGTGTCACGTCTGTCCTTTAACTGTCATTTATTTTGTGTTGCAAAAAGAAAAGATGTAGATGTCACATTTTCTAGTAGACAGTGAGGTGAGGGAGGCGGCAGATGGATGGCTCCATCCCATCCCTGTTGGCCAGCGCAGGTCACAGGACCGTGGTTGCCAGTGTCGGTTTCCTGTGGTGGGTGATGCCCACAGAGGGAGGAATAATGCGGGTGTCATACATCTCCTGCAGGGAGGACATGGTCCGGGTGTAAGCAGCTGCACCCTTTCCACAAACAGATACATCTCTGGCCTCGATAGGTCTGGCTGGTTCTGGCCTAGAATTCCTCTCCCCACACTGAGACTTCTTGAGAGTCAGGTCTCTGAGCATGGTCTCCTTTTAGATTTTGTAGGTGGGGAACCAAGAACCCTTTGGCCTGTAAACTCTCTGTCTCTGTTCCGGGCTATAGTTATTCCTTTTCTTGTCATTGTGACTAAATGCTTGACTTGAGGAAGGAGGGGCTCACAGTTTGAGGGAGGTACAGTCCGTCATGGTGGGGGAAGTCACAGCAGCGGATGCTCAAAGCAGCTGGACATACCGTGTCCCTATTCAAGAAGCAGAGAGAGATGGATGCTTGCTTCTTTTTATTTCAGTCCAGAACCCCAGTCCATAGGATGGAGCTGCCAGTTTAGGGGGTGGAGTGGAGTCTTTACCTCAGAAACTTTCTCACAGACATGCCCTGAGGCTTCTTCCTAGGGGTTCTACTTCCTGTCAATTCCAACGTGAAACTTTAAAATGTGCTGTGGAAGAGGTTTGTTTTCATCTTTGGGAAGGACCCAAAGACGACAGATGGACCAGAAAAACATCGGGAACCCTAACCAGATCCAGCTGTCCATGTGTTTGGAAAGGAGGCAAGATGGATGACTTTCCTTATGAAAGCCGCTTGCTGTTGATAAACCTGGAAGAGGCCAGCTTGTGCTGAGGCCGCTTCCCTCTGGCCTTTGTTTAGTTTTGGTTGTGAAGAAAGAGTGATGGACAGGACAGGGAGATGGCCGAGTTAGTAAAACGTTCATCTCAGCATGCATAGAGGCTGGGCATGGCAGTGTATGCCTGTAATTCCAGGACTGGGAAAGAGAAGACAGGAAGGTCCCTGGGCCTTCGCAACCAGTCAGTCTCGCAAGTCAGAGAGCTCTAGGCTCAACGAGAGACCCCATTTTAAAGGTTGGGTTGGATAGCAATCGAGGAAAACATCTGATATCAACCTTTAGCCTCTACACACAATCACACACATGTATATACACTCACACAAACATGCACACACATAGAGGGAGAGAGGTAGAGAGGCAGGGGGGAGGGAGAGAGACAGAGGGGGAGTAGGGATGAGGGGGAGAGGAGTAGGGGGAGAGTTTCAAGTCATACCCAGTGCCCTGAAATATGATTAATTCTCCACAGCACACAGCAAAATGATGGGTAAATGGAGCCAGTAAAAATAAAATGTGAATGAACAGTCGAGGTTTGGAGAAAGTGCTCATGATCCAGTATTAAATTCAGATCATATAATACCTGCCCGCTTTGTATGCACACACGCAGAGAAAATGGATTGGAAGCCTGTGCCCCCGACCAGCCTCGTGGCTCTGCACGGTGGGCTGTGGAGGAGTTTAATTTCCTTTTCCACTCTCCTAATTGTCTTCAATGAACATATATTACTTTTTTAATCAGAAAAATATCAAATACAAATAATTTAAGCTTTATTATTTTTCCATTATGGAAGTAACATTCACTGTAAAATATTGGGGAAATGTACACTGGCAGAGAGAGAACACAGCCTCGCCTTGCACGGCAGGAAGATTTGTCAGTGTTAGATTTTCTTCTATTCTCAGCCTCCTGCTTAAAAAATGAGGCCCTTGCCTCCCTGCTGCAGCTGCTTCCTCCTAGAACACGGCTGAGACCCAACGAAGGCATCTTGTCAGCCATGGCAATGGTGTTCACCAGCTCCTGTTGGTCGGCCACACTCCTGTTGCTGAGCACCTAGGGACTCTCTCCTCGGTGTCTCTGAGGCCCTCTGTGGTGTGAACATGTGCCATCTCTAACATGTCCCTGAAGGAGTTACACACAGAGAGGGCATCTGGCTTCCCTAGTGACGCTCACTGCATGTGTCACAGAGATCCTGGCATATGACCTCCCGTAGTGCCTGCCCATCCTGGCTTCTGAGCAAATCCATGTCTGTGGCCGGTGGGCACTGAGAGGAAGACCACAGTTACCCTTATGGCTGCCCTGAGGTGGGACACGTTCTCCTTGCTGTCTTAGATTCAGTCTTGCAGCTAAGAGCCTCTGATGCCTTAAGCATGGTTGTCATTTCTGAAAGGCAGGGACTGGATCAGCTTGTCCCCGGAGCCAGAGCAGCAGGTACAGTCCACCCGTGGGTGTGGGTGTCTCAGTTTTCCTCAAAAGTCACTGGGCTCCCAGGTCGGAATTTTGTGTCCTAACTCACTTGCTGAGCTTTTTGCAAAATTAGCTATCCAACAAAGAGGAGCAATGGAACACACGTCCAGCTATTCCCCGGGAGATGAGCCTGTGTCTAGGGCTCCAGATCTTTAATCCACTCAAGCTATAACATGTATCTATCATTTCATTGTCCTCAAGAGGAAGCATGGGCCTAGAGAAGGCAAGTGGCTTGCCCAAGCATGCACAGTAGTTTCAGTGTACCCAGAGGTGGCAGTGAGCCCCTCCCCCACTGCCTGGCCTCTGTTTGCTGGAAAATGGTGGCAGTGGGACAACATGCCCCTAAGATGAACACAGTCTTTTGGGGGTCCTCTCTACATGTGGCTTGCTGCTTATGAACTTAGGGCTCTAACCACAGGGTCATCCTGGTGAGATAGAGCCTATGTTACTTTCTGTCTGTAGGATGGAATTAGCCCAGGTGTGGGTCTATGGGAGGTGACCGAAGGACCCAGATGCCTCTGCAGGGCCACCTTCACCTTTGCTCAGTTTCCCAGGCCCCAGGGACCCACTGGAATGTGACTGAGAAAAACTGGGGTACTGATGCACTCAGTCAGGTGACAGTGAACCTCTTTCTAGCCTCAGTTTTCCCAAACAGCCAGCTGCTGTCTTTGGCAAACACTGTGGCCCTTGTTGGTTCCTAGGGGCTCAGGAGTCTGATCCTGAAGGCTCATTTGATGGGTGTGACCTTGAGTGATGGCATAGTCTTTTCTGTGGGCTGTGAAATCTGCCCTGGAGCGTAGGCTGTTCTCAGACTGGGTAACCTGCTATACCCTCATCATCATGGTCTCTTCCATGAGCAACTGGCTGCAAGGCCACACTGCTTCTTCCCATTTTGCAGGTGAAGCAGCCGAGGTCCAAGGACTGGGAGTAGCTTGCCTGCCTGTCCAGCTATCTTTGACTTTCTTCTTCTTCTTCTTCTTCTTCTTCTTCTTCTTCTTCTTCTTCTT